AATGCACAACAGGGGAGGCATCTTCTGATTCTGCTATCATTACACTTAGCAGTTAAGGTATTTGAGAGAACCTGTGCCTATCACTGCTATTTGCATACCCTGACAGTGTTGTGCCTCAACTTGGTACTTGCAAGGCTTGCCGAGGCTAACAGGACTAGAAACCCTTTCTTTAAAACAGTTTAAGATCCTTAGAAGCCAAATAGCTTAGTAAAAACGAGTTTATACAAAGAATGGAATTTTGCCAACTCCATCCTGTTCTTGATTGTTCTGGAATTCCACATGTGGCTATACTATACCACAGTCTGAAACCAGCCTGTAACTAAGAATGGAAAGCACTTCAGAGAACCATCAAAATTTCAGTTTACTTTACAAGATCAGTTTTGTGCTTAATTGGGGTCAACAATTATGACAGAGCTAAAGTGACACCTAGTGGATAATGAAATATAATTGTAAGAAACACACCATTCCATGCACACATACTCTCAGTAGGCGTTTACAGACATTTCCCTTTAATCAGTCATTACCCTTGTAGCTTAACAGCCACAGGAAAAATATTTATTAAAAGGAGAGAGCTATGGACAATTCCACGCACTTTTATATGCACGACTTGTATTTCCATGAATGTCCTTGCCCCTTCCCACTGAACAGAAGAAAATGTTGCTAGAACTTTAGTTTTCAGGGCTTAAGCTCATTTGAGTATTAATTTTTACTTTTTTAAAAAAAATCTAAGTTCTTATTGGTCACAGGAACTAACAAGCTTCTACAGTTTACACCTTATTTTGCTTTGAAATTATTATCTGTCCTGATAAAATAAAGCTGAAGAGTCTGTTGGCCAGGTCTTGTATTTGTTAGCATTCATTCTGTACAGTAAGAAGCAAACCTACGCAACCTCTGTAGAAGCCTGAACTACAAAATGTTGGAAAAAGCACACTCACCGAAGTGTCTAATCTTTTGTTCATGTTTTTGCATAAGTGGTTCAGACACATCTTCTTCTTCTATTTCTTTTCTTTTTTGATTAATAAAACTCTGAGGAAGAGAAAAATTGTACTGTCACAGAAATTCCAGACATACCTTTTTATGATATACAGGAGTACTGTATTTTAATATGTGACTATTTAAAGGGCTATGTTCTAATTTTAGACTCATGTCATATACTTGAGAAGGTTTTCTTTAAAGAAGTGCATTACCTAATAATAGAGTTTAAAAGTCTCATTATAGTCTACTGACCAAAGAACTCTGAGAAACTACTGTCCTCAGGCAGGAACTTACTGATCTGTCACCAATGAGAATCATGTACATTGCAGCCTGGATGCAGCTACATCAGTGAAATTAGGAGATGCACTAGTGGTTCAAATTAAATTGTGGAATCAAAGCTGGTATTATACTATAAAAAAAGTTTGTGCTAAATAATCTGTATCACAGTAGTCATTATTAGAAGCAAACCAATAGTTTCACATTTTAAGAATTTGGCACAGTAGAGAAGCACACTCTTCATGTGAAGAAACTATTCAGCACATTTGGCAACATTTGCACTATGTAGAACTGTAGAGTGGTTTGGGTTGGAAGGGACATTTAAAGATCATGTAGTTCTAACCCTCCCTGCTGTAGGCACAGATGTCTTTCACTAGATCAGGTTGCTCAAAGCCCTTTCCAACCTGACCTCTATTGCTTCCAGGGAGGTTGCATCCACAACTTCTCTGGGCAACCTGTTTGAGTGTCTCACCACCCTCATTGTAAAAAATTTCTTCCTTATGTCTGATCTAAACCTACCCTCTTTCAGTTTAAAACTGTTGCCCCTTGTCCTGTCAGTACAGGTCCTGGTAGGAAGTCTCCCTTGGTCTTTCTTATAAGCCCCCTTTGAGTATTGAAAGGCCACAATAAGGTCTCCTTGGAGCCTTCTCTTCTCCAGGCTGAACAACCCCAACTGTCAGAGCCTTTCCTCAAAGGAGAGGTGTTCCCTCCCCCTGATCATTTTTGTGGCCCTCCTCTGGACCTGCTCCAACAGGTCCATGTCTTTCCTGTATTGAGGACCCCGGATCTGAACGCAGTGCTCCAGGTGAGGTCTCACCAGAGCGGAGTAGAGGGGCAGAATCACCTCCCTTGACCTGCTGGCTATGCTTCTTTTGATGCAGCCCAGTATTCGGTTGGCTTTCTGGGCTGCAAGTCCACATTGCTGCCTCATATCTAATACCCAGATGACCTGCGCAAATTCTGATCTGCACTTCTAGTAGAGAAATGTCATCCAGATTTGTAGTATGAGTGCAGCTTGCTCCCTTTTGTGAGGCAAAGTAAGGAAAAAAAACCCAACCCAATTTAACACATACTGTGGTTTTGTGTTGTACTGGACACAGAAGACACTCAAGACTAGTAACAAGTGGAATGAAAAACAAGAGGCTAACATTTGTTTTCATGCACAGATATGTGTCATACCTTATTAAATACGTCCTTACTAACAGGATCTGTGTTCCATAGATTCTGTCTTTCACTCTGGTTTAGTGCTTCTTCTTTTCTTCTCCACTCTTCCTCTCTCCATCTCAACTCTGCAGCTTCAGTCTTTGCTTGAGCAGATTCTTGATCGTGGGATTCTGAATTATGCAGTGCTAAGCTACCAAGTTTTTGCTGGGCTTCTGCTAGGTTCCACGTGCATTCTACAGAGTGCTTCATGAACTCTCTTTCTTTTTGGCAGGCCAATTCAATCCCTTGGCTGTATGTCTGTGAGGAAAATCACACGCGCTATTTATGGAGGAAAAATTGACAGTTTACAGTTTGTATAGGAGCAGACAGGCCTAAATCCCAAAGATAATGCACCTGGAAAGCCCCTTAGATATGCAGCATTATATTCGCAGGAGTGATGACACATGGTATTGTACAGCTAGATGCTTTTTGGAAAAAGATTTCTAATTCAAGCTGCCTTAACTTTGTTAAGTGCATTTGCAAAATTGTGGATCACGTACTGCTATCAGTAGTAGTCTCCAGACTGTAAAAATACTTTTGACACAGCTGAAACCCCTCTGGCTATCTTTGGGCTGCAATGCTAGTAACAGCCAAGCCTGAGAATAGTCTGAATATATACTTCTGAGAAGAAAGTATCAGTTCTGTGATGTCAGATCACAACAGTAAAGTAACTGCTGCTGCCTGCATTCCAATATGGATTAGTAGCTAACAGATGGCCAACATCTTCCCTTGAGCTGACAGTGAAAGTGGAATTCAAGTTATGAAGCGGCTGAGGCCCAGCACAAGCATATGCTCCTTTTTGGTCAAATCTATTGAGGAGGTCACCACACATAGCTGGGAGAGAAAAGTGACCTCTTAAGCAACAGTGCTTATATTACTTCCAGGTGCATGCTGGGAACTCACACTCAGTAATGTAAGAAATTATCCTCTAAAGCATATGCCGTGCCTTCCCACCAAAAGTGGAGAAAAAACATCCATATGTGTTAGTTCCTCAGCCTTCCAGTGCCACGTTATGAAATTTGTGGTGCTGATAACCTCTGGCACAGGGACAGGAAGGACCACAGAAGTTATGAAAGATGATTTGAAGGGAACTTTAATGCCGGTAGATCAAAGTTCTGGTGCCAACTTTGTTTGGGAATTGCAGTGTTTTTCTTTTTTTTTTAAATAATAAGATGACAATTTCACTGTTCGGAAAACTAAAGCAATGGCAGCTTCTTGCAAGGACACACAGAATTCCTGACAACGTATTTGTAAAACGCCGACTTGCCCTAGCCAAAAGAGAAACGCAGCGCTCGTATATCTGCTTTTTAGACACAAGGACGGTGGGATAATGGGCTTACTTCAGCCCAGCTCCTTCCACATCGCCTGTCAAACGTGGGGCTGTTTCTCACGGGTG